TAATATTTACACAACGACTCGTGGGACTAGCTCCGGTGAGCATCAATCGTCCGGGGAAGCGCGTTGGACGTAGTATTCCACATCCATGTCATTAGGGACACGAACACCTTTCAGCTCGATAGATTATTGTTGAAGCGGTTCCAAAGAGGCTATGAGTGTTTGATAGAGAGCCCACATTGTCGTCAAAGCATACCAATGGAGTGAGAATCTCGTTTGGCGGTAATGCGATTGCATCGAAGGCATCCAGTGGTATTAATATGGTCATCTCCTACAGACTATTCATTATGCAAGAGCAATATAAGCACGATCCATGCCGCGCCCCTACTTTTACTGATCGAGAATACAGATGGTTGTTTGATTTGGAGATATTCCAAGTATCATTTCTACTGTCTGCTTTCAGAACTGGAGGAGGGGTAATTGTGGCGAAATGCAGAACGGCAGATGATACAAGCTATATAAATCTCACCAACAGCATCAGCTCCTTTCTGTATGTATGCATGCGCTGGCACCTCCGTATTGGCCTGTGTGACCTGACTGTAGTCACATAAACTGTGCATTCTGCTGTGAATTATTCAGAAATGAACTGATGTTTATCCACTGGAAAATGATGAACCAAGTCAACTCCGCGGATCCCACTCTACAAGAGCTGCTCCGCTCCTACTCCTCCACGCTTTCCTTCTATCTCAACGGGACGAGGATCGACCTGCAGAATCCTAACCCACACTGGACATTACTGGACTTTATCCGATCACAGCATGGCTTGAAAGGTACGAAACTGGGGTGCGGTGAAGGCGGATGCGGTGCCTGTACCGTTGTCCTGCAAACACGCGACATTCGCAATCCTCGGCGGATTCGGCATTTAGCTGTGAATGCATGCTTGTATCCATTAATCGGGGGTAAGTATAGTATCTATCTCAAAGATGATACCCAAGGCTGATTTGGCAGTGGCTGGCAAACATGTCATCACCGTGGAAGGACTGGGCAATGCCGACCATCCCCATCCCTTACAAGAGCGGTTGGGCAAGTTGCATGCTTCTCAGTGTGTCTTCTGGTGCAAATAAAAGCAAAAGATAGACGCTGATAGTGTAGATGTGGATTTTGTACTCCCGGCATCATCATGTCGCTGTATGCCCTCATCCGCAACGCTTTCGACCCCGATACTCTCGAGTTCACCTTGTGCGAGGATGACATTGAGATGAAGGGCCATCTGGACGGGAATCTCTGCCGATGCACTGGTTATAAGCCAATTTTAGAAGCAGCCAAGACATTCATCCAGCAGGATCTGCAGCTTCCATTGCGCCAGTCCGAAAGATCCAGTCCTACCGCATGTGGCAACCCGACTATCTCCGCAGACTCGTACGGGGAGAACAGCCGAAAGTCTTGCGGTCGTCCAGGCGGCTGCTGTCGTGATACTCCTGAGACATCATGTTCATCGAGTCCGAGTAATTATGGCCAAAGCTCGCGGACCAGTCTGTCATCCCAGGTAGAAGCAGCGGCACCCCAATTCGAATTCATCCCATACATACCGACAACGGAGCTCATCTACCCTCCTGGCCTTTCCAAGCACATTGAGCTTCCTTTGTGCTACGGCAACGAACAAAGGATATGGATACGTCCTACCACCCTTGAGCAGCTGATCCAGATCAAGACGGCATATCCATCAGCCACTCTGGTCAACGGTGCCAGTGAGGTGCAGGTGGACATTCGCTTGAAGAACTCGCACCATCCAGTGTCAATATTCATCGGACATATCAAGGAGCTGACCAATATCAGTACTGTCTCCACTGCCGGAGACATATCCGATCTAGTCATTGGCGGTACAGCCTCATTGAGCGACATCGAAGCCGAATGTCATCGTCTCATTCCTCTGCTACAGCCTCGGGCATCAGTTATTCAGGCCATCGCAAAGGCACTTCGATACTTTGCCGGTCGCCAGATCCGTAACGCGGCATCCCTTGCGGGGAATATTGCTACTGCTTCTCCTATTTCGGACATGAATCCGTTGCTTCTCGCAGTCAATGCGACAGTCGTCTCGCGCACGGCGCAGGGTGAGCATTTCCACTCTATGGACTCGATGTTCCTTGGCTATCGCAAGACTGCACTGCCAGAGGGAGCAATCATCACCCAGATTCGCATTCCGATCCCACCGCCCGAAGTACGCGAGATCACCAAATCCTACAAACAGGCCAAACGGAAGGATGATGATATCGCTATCGTGGCCGCCGGCTTCCGTGTGAGGCTAAATGACCATGCGATAGTTCAAGAAGTTACTCTAGCATACGGGGGAATGGCTCCTACTACCGTTCTCGCACCAACTGCCAGCAAGTCTCTCATCGGTAAGAAGTGGGGAGATACAAAGGTCCTGGAGGAGGCATTGGACGCCCTTCTCGTTGATTTCAACCTTCCGTACAGCGTTCCTGGCGGCATGGCTACGTATCGCCGCACTCTGGCCCTCTCGCTCCTTGTGCGATTCTGGAACGAGGTCCTGTCTGACCTTCAGATTGGAGACAAGGTCGACACAGATCTTACACGAGAGATCCACCGGAAGATCTCCCACGGCACACGCGACAACAGAAACCCCCATGAACAACGGGTAGTTGGCAAACAGATCCCTCACCTATCCGGATTGAAGCACGCAACCGGAGAAGCCGAGTATGTGGACGACATGCCGCCGCAGCACCGCGAGCTATTCGGCGCAATGGTGCTATCCCAACGTGCTCATGCCAAGATCATCTCGGTGGATTGGACGCCAGCGCTGCAACCCGGTTTAGCGGTAGGATACATCGACCATCACAGCATCCCTAGGGAGGCGAATGCCTGGGGTTCTGTCAAGCGCGACGAACCATTCTTCGCCGTTGATGAGGTTGTAGCCCATGGGCAGCCGATCGGCCTGGTGTATGCCGACACTGCTCTGCAGGCACAAGCAGCCGCCAAAGCAGTTCGCGTTGTATACCAGGATCTTCCCGCAATTCTAGCCATAGATGAAGCAATTGCTGCTCGAAGCTTCTTCCCACACGGCAAGGAGCTGAGGAAGGGTGCTTCTCCGGAGAAAATGCAGGAGGTGTTTGCTCAATGTGACCGGGTCTTTACCGGGACGACGCGTGTAGGCGGCCAGGAGCACTTCTATCTGGAGACCAATGCCGCACTGGTAATCCCTCATTCGGAGGACGGGACGATGGAAGTCTGGTCCTCCACCCAGAATACAATGGAGACGCAGGAATTCGTCAGTCTTGTCACTGGAGTGCCGAGTCACCGCATCAATGCCCGGGTCAAGCGCATGGGAGGGGCCTTTGGCGGCAAAGAATCCCGCAGTGTGCAGTTAGCCTGTCTACTTGCTATCGCAGCCAAGAAGGAACGACGGCCCGTGCGAGCAATGCTCAATCGGGACGAGGACATGATGACCACAGGCCAACGGCACCCGGTGCAATGCCGATGGAAAGTGGGCGTCATGAACGACGGTCGGCTAGTTGCCCTGGACGCGGATTGCTACAGCAATGCCGGCTTCTCGCTAGATATGAGTGGTGCTGTGATGGACCGCTGCTGCACGCATCTGGACAATTGCTATCATATCCCCAATGTGCATATCCGCGGCTGGGTCTGCCGCACCAATACCCACAGTAACACTGCTTTCCGCGGGTTCGGCGGTCCCCAGGCCATGTTCATAGCGGAGAGCTACATGACTGCTGTGGCAGAGGGTCTCAATCTTCCAATCGATGAGCTGCGTCGGCGGAATCTCTACGAGCAAGGGCAATTGACACCATTTCTGCAGCGGATTGATGAAGACTGGCATGTGCCGTTGCTCATGGAGCAGGTGCGACGAGAAGCCCAGTATGACGAACAACGCGCGGCCGTGGACAAGTTTAACGCGCAGCATAGATGGCGGAAGCGAGGGATCTGTCTCATCCCGACCAAGTTTGGTCTGTCGTTTGCCACAGCCGTCCATCTCAACCAGGCCGCCGCGTCGGTTAGGATCTACGCGGATGGATCCATCTTACTGAATCATGGCGGCACAGAGATGGGCCAAGGTCTGTACACCAAGATGGTGCAGGTTGCCGCCGAAGAACTGGGAGTTCCTATTGAGAGCATCTATACGCAAGATACCTCGTCCTACCAGACAGCAAATCCTTCACCAACTGCCGCATCATCCGGCAGCGATCTCAATGGGATGGCCGTCAAGGACGCCTGTGATCAGCTCAACGAGCGCTTGAAGCCGTATCGGGAGAAGTTTGGCCCGGACGCTCCCATGTCCACGATCGCGCATGCTGCCTACTTGGATCGAGTTAACTTAACAGCAAACGGGTTCTGGAAAATGCCCAAGATCGGATATCAGTGGGGGAGCTACGATCCGAAGACGGTGAAGCCGATGTACTACTACTTCACGCAGGTATGTTGAACGTCACTCTGAGAGACAGTACTAATTCTATAGGGCGTTGCATGCACCGAAGTCGAACTGGATCTGCTAACAGGGGACCACACCGTCTTACGCACCGACATCAAGATGGATGTGGGACGATCGATTAACCCTGCTATTGACTATGGTCAGGTCGAGGGGGCATTCATCCAAGGACAAGGACTCTTCACGATGGAAGAGTCTCTATGGAGTCGGGACGGACAGCTGGCCACTCGCGGGCCTAGTAACTACAAAATCCCTGCTTTTGGAGATATTCCCCAGGAATTCAATGTAAGTTTCCTGCAGGATGTCTCATGGCAGCATCTTCGATCCATTCAGAGCAGCAAGGGATGTGGTGAGCCGCCTTTGTTTCTGGGGTCGACTGTGTTATTCGCTCTCCGGGACGCACTGAAAAGTGCCCGGGAAGATCACCAGGTGTTAGAACCTTTGGTATTGGACAGTCCAGCTACGGCAGAGAAATTGCGCCTGGCAGTGGGAGATCCGTTAGTTAAGAGGGCGAGGGTTGAGGCGAAAGGAGGCGAGACTCCTTTTTTTGTATCAGTGGCATAATAGCGGAGAGAATAACAGCTACATTGTCTACGTATTTGCTCTATATCAGGAATGAGCCATAATACTCCTCTACCCAGTCGGCAGCTTTGTCTCCTTCCTTTTCCCTCCATAAACTCAGAGATCCCACGTAGCCGTCCGGTCGGACATTGATGACGGCGGCTTGATCACTATCTAACTTTCCCAGCCATTTGTCCGTACAGGGCTTCTCATCCGCATTGTCCAGATATAACGTCCATCGGCTTTGTTGCAGGACATCCGGCAAATCACTGATCTCAAACTCCGATCTCGATGACTTGGTTACAAGAGACAGTGTGAAGAGGTGGGAAACAGTTGTATATCTTTGTGGCTGAACATATTCATCAGACGCTGCCTTCCCTCGCGGTTTCTCGTTATACGACTGCTGTGCTCGAGCAGAAACCCGACCCAATACTGACTTGGGTTTCTTCAGTCTGGCACAAAATGTATCAAGGAAGTTCTGCATGAACAGTACGTCTGGAACTAATAGGTATATTCGGAATTGCCCCAATATCGGAATATCCAGCTGGATATCGACCGGATTCGCATCGATATATCGAGTCACTCTTGCCGGTACCAGCAGCGCCCCAGGGCGGAGCGCTCCCCCAGTGACTGGATCAGATTGAATCTTTGTCAACAGGCCCTTTGAATACTCTGCGCCAATCCCCGATATGAAGCGGATATTGTCATCGAAATTCGTGGCCAGCGCGGCCTCGCCTTGCTCAAAGGCGCTGCAGTGCTCTGCATCGAACCGAATCAAATCCATAGCGATCTTACGGCGCTCATCTTCATATGTGGCTAGCAGGGACCTCTTGGCCAGTCCTCGACAAACCAGATTGAGCTTCCAAGCGAGATTGAAGCTGTCGTGCATACTGGTATTGGCTCCTTGGGCGGCCAGCGCAGAGTGGCAGTGTCCAGCCTGATGCCATCAGTATCCTTCATGATCAATGCATGGTAAACACATACATCACCAGCAATGAAGATTTGCATCTCCTTGTCGTTGAAGTGACTGGCAACTCGTTGCCCAACCACGTAATTCCCGAACCATTCTATCATGTCAACTGTGTCCGCAACCTCTATCCGCCAGACGTACCGATTGACTTCCACTCCAGCCTGAACGGCGCCATGGCCTTCCTGGCCAGTGCCATGACATATTCCGGTGTTGCTTTGGCCTTGTCCACTCGTTCTCCTTCCGTGGAGCTCAATTCAACGTACAACCGCGTCATATTGCGCTCGCGAGGAATCCACAGAATAGACCCTACTGAATGTGATCGAACAGCCACTTTGCTCCAGAGGTCCGGAAAATTGGTATCAATGACCCCTGGATAGTCAGTGCGAGTGGTCATCCGGAGCAACCGGGGGATACTAACCATCCAACACCCCCCAGGAAGCGTTCGTCATTTGTCCTTCAAGCTTCGCGTCAGGAATGAAATCCCGTACTTTGGAACGAGCGCCGTCACATCCGACCAGATATTCCGCGCGAATCGTCCTTTTCGTTTCTGTAGATAGATCTTCGTAAGTAACGATCAACTGTTTCCGGTCTGGGCTACGCGAACAAGCTATAAAGCGACTGTTGCGAGTAACCGGCACTCCGCGTGCTTCAATATCCTCAATGAGCACTCCTTCTATCATTCCTTGATGCGCCAGAAGAATGTATGGATCTGCCGCTCCCACCAGATGATCTGGGTAGTGTATCTGACGACCCTTTCGGTGCAGCGGCGTGTTCTCAGTGGATTCCTACCCAGTCAGTTTATAACATTTCATACGGGGTGTATCGTACCCAGAACGAGATATCATACACTCTAACACCATTCCGGAGGAGAGAATCTGCGAGCCGGAGCTGTCTGAAGGTCTCGATGGTCTTGGGCTGCATGCCATCCGCCTTGCCGGTTGATGTCTTGTCCGGTCGGTCATCGAGGATCACGACGGGAATTCCGTGGCGGACCAAATTGCACCTGGATACTGTGAGATATGATCAATAATGAGACAGTCGACTGACTCACGCCAGCATCAGTCCGGATGGACCAGCGCCCACGACCACTACAGTCGTGGAGGCATTGGGGGGAGAGTGCGCCATGAAGTTATTGTGATCCGACAATCGGATGCTCCGAGATCTCACATGTACCTTGTCTAATTATGTATGTGGGTAGTGAAATCTATCACTAGATCCTGGGTAGTTGTTCTCCGCATCGCACTTGTCGACTCGTGCAGTTGCAGATGGGCTGATCGGGAGCTCGCCAGCCCCCGCTTTGCTTATGCCATCATGGTCGATCTTCTTCTTCAATTGTTCTATTCCTCTTAGGATATATGTAGCACACTCTCCGTCGACTACGACATTCTGGCCCGCCATGTACACATGCTGAGTCTCTGGACACACATATCCCACCGAGGTAGAATTCACTCAAATCCCTTTCACTCCATCGGCAATCACCACCTTCTATCCTTTCCTCGGATTATACTTCGCAATTGCAGGGCACATAGCCCGTACAACACCCTTGAAGCCCCAGTATGCACTGCATAAGTGACTCCGAAACGGCCACGTGGCTGGCTATACTGGCACCAGCACAATGCCCCATGCTGTGTCCATTGGCGATCATCGTAAAGTACGTCCCAGTACATTAACCTACAGCAGACTCTGTTGTTCCTATGTAAATTCAAGAAGGGGGAGGTGGCGGCTGGTGCCAGCACCAGAGCATTTTCAAAGCCGTGGCAGAATATTTCGAGCCGTCGTAGATGGATCATCCTAAGCAGACATCGACCTTCTCATAAATCAAAATGAGCTCAGCTTCTGCAAGAGAGTCAACCCCTTACTTAGTAGGCAGTCCAGCGCTGTGCTCTTGTTGGGTGCTGTGATTACCTGGTCCGGCTCAATGACATCAAGATCGCCACGTCAGTTCTGCTTCAGCCAATCCTTGAGCTCCTCCCTACACCAGACCTGTCCCTCCTTGGGGAAAACTAATCGGTCGGTGAGATTGGTCGGACAGCGATTGTGAGGGGTATGGCGCCCCCGAGACATGTTCGTATAGATCGTAGATGATGTACATCGATCTTCATGTTCAGTCCGTCCTTGTTGGCCTTCTAGTGGCTTCCTTTGGGAGATGCAGGCCTGAAGATGCAGTACATCTGCAAGGGTAACGCCGGTGAGCTGCCAGCGGGGTCAAACTACTTTCAAGTCACATAATACTTCGTAACACTCCTCTACCAACTTGATGCACTGTAACAATGAAAATAAATCCACCGAGCTTGGGTTCGTACATTCTACATTCAACCCAAACGAGTGAGAATGGCACCACCTATCCATATCAAGCAAAAGGAAGCCCGCCTAGAGTCGTGTAAACTGCAGGTATGTTACGTTACGCTGCGCTCACACCTGGCCTCCTTCACCCTAACAATCCACCAGATCATCATCGTCGGAGCCGGTCTCGCCGGCCTCGGAGCAGCCATCAGTTGCCTTCTAGCCGGCCACGACGTGCACGTCCTCGAATCCGCCCACGAAGTCGGCGAAGTAGGCGCCGGCATCCAAGTCCTCCCCAACAGCTCCCGCGTCCTGCAGCACTGGGGTCTGGAAGATGCGTTGAGGCCGTACATGACCCACCCGCGCGTGTGCAATTTCCTCGGGTGGAAGGGTAATCTCATTTCCTCGATGGATTTCCACGACTCGGAGAAACAGTACCCCGGTACCTGGTATCGGGATTTTCACCGTGCGGATCTGCATCGGTGCTTGCTGAATCGTGCGTTGGAGCTCGGAGCGCGGTTCACCTGCAACGCGCGGATCGTCGATGTTCGGGTGGGTGTTGACGAGGCCACCGCCACGGCAGTGGCCGCCGACGGGCGGGAGTGGACTGGGGATCTGGTCGTTGGCGCCGACGGAGTATTTGGGACGTTGGTGGAGAAGCTTATGGGTCGTCCCGAACCGCCCGTCAAGACGGGCGATTTGGCGTATCGACTGCTTTTGTCCACGGAAGACATGCTCAAGGATCCGGAGTTGGCTGGCTTCGTAACAGATCCACAGGTCAACTACTGGCTTGGACCGGATGCGCATGCGGGTGAGTCCGTCGGTTGATCATGCAGAACGGACTACGCTCACAGTTCAGTGAATTATGTCCTGCGAGGCGGCGAGAAATTCAACATGGTCTTGCTGGTGCCGGACGATATCCCGGAAGACTCGCTGGCGTCGACGGTGGAAGGCAACGTGCATGAGATGTGCGCCCTATTCGAAGGATGGGATCCACGGTAAGCGCTTTCCTCCTGATAAGGACATTGGCTCATGGTCAAAGAATCCAGAAGCTGCTCAAACTTTGCCAATCCGTCTACAAATGGCGGCTGTGCATACGTTTTGGCGACCACGAGTGGACGCATCCATCAGGATCATGGGTCATGATAGGCGATTCGGTCCATGCCACACTTCCATATCTCGCCTCAGGGTATACAATCATCTATTGACACGTCAGGGCCATCTAACGAATGCTCAGGGCAGGTATGGCCTTTGAGGACGGAGCCGTCCTTGGCGAATGTCTCTCTCGACTTCCAAACAGCCCGGGTGTCACCAAGACCTCACCCGAGTATCTGCAAAGCAAGCGTCATGCACTATCTGTCTTTGAAACGTGTCGTAAGCAGCGGACAAAAATGGTCGTAGACCGTGGAAATGTGCAACAATACCTCTACCATCTCCACGATGGCCCAGAACAGGAAGAAAGAGACCGCAAGATGCAGATGGTTCCTACACCCGAGGGTGAGGCCCTAGCGTGGAGGGATCCAGGTTTAGCGCCTAAACTGCTGGGATACGATCATATTGCAGATGTACGTCAGGTGAAAAGTAGTAGAATCAGCACCAAACCATGAACTGACTGAAACAGGTTGATCTAAACTGGAACGTGGAGGATAAAAATGAAGGAATAGCAGTCTCTAGACTATGACATTTCATACACATAAAAATCATCAAATGCAATCATCCAGGTCGTAGTACATCATTAATCAGTGTGAATCGCAGAACAGGAAATATGTGAATCGTGATACTCGTGAAAAGCGAATGTTGGCCTCATGGAGGCGAAAGACATCATGGCACAAAAAGCAGAGTTCCCCCTATGCAAGGTAATGAAGGACAGTCGGGTACATGGCACATAGCACATTATGTCATCATAACAACGTCGCGTTAAAGAAAGTTGAGATTAAGATAGATCGGAAGATCAAGCAAAGTTATCCCTAGACGGGAAACCTGACGGCGCTCCTGATGGAAGGGGAGGACCTCGGCTGCGAAAGGTTGCGTGGCAGCGATTTCACCTTGGGGTCCTGGTTGTAACGAAGGCGATCGCGCTTGAGGTTATACATCTTGATCACGCATGCCATGGCTTGCTCTTCCGTCAACTGAGGAGCACATAGCGAGTCGCCGTCCAGCGGGACTGCGCGCAAAACAGACGACACCATCCACATGGCCAGGACGTCAATATCGCGGGCATTGCTCCAGCAAGGGAACAACGAGAGCGTTTGCATGGCGCGTGTGAACTCGCGGTATGTTTCCGTCCGAGTATCGGTGAGGAAAGGCCGCGAGCCAGGGATCTTTTCTTGTTGGAGGCGCTGGTCAAGCAGACGGAGGCACTCACGAGGTGTAGGACTCTTGAAGACAACCTCTTCCTGGAACAGGCTGGAAAGGCGGGGCTGGTTGCACAACAACAGGTCCATTTCAGGGCCACATCCTGCCAGAATCACCACAGTGTCGCGAGAGTACTTGGGCATGAGGTAGACCAGGTCATTGATGGTCTGAGTAGCGGATTCGATCTCACTAAGCCGGTGAGCATCTTCGACGAACAAAACACCCCCGCGTGCACGTTCCAGCAGCGAGCGCGTTTGAGTCGATAGGTTGCAGGCATTCAGGGCTAGATCGGTTGCAGAGCACTCCATAAATTTGCCAGAGTCCAGCACACCCATGTCATAGTATAGGCGGCCGATCAGCCGTGCGACGGTTCTCCTGCCAATTCCGGTGGCGCCTTTGAAGACCATCGCAAGGGGAACACGCCGAGTGGGGTCAGCATTTAGCAACCACGCCGCCTTTAGGTCGTGCCGGTAGCGTTCAAGCAAAGTAATGAGGTCGTCCGAGACGAGGGTGTATTTCAACTCCTCGCGGAAATCCAACTTTGATCTGCAACACAAACGATCATCTTCGAAATTTTCAGGCACGAGAATCCGTTCGAGTTGTGTTTGGGTACCTTCACCCCGGGACCGACTGCGTTCGTACGCAGAGTGAGCTGAGCCGAGCAGGTGAGCAATTGCTCTTCCATTGTTGAAGTCCTTACGCATGCGAGCAACTTCGAGAAGTTTAACAGCGTTATCCAGCGCCTCAGAAGTAGTATGAACTTCGTCGTCGTGCAGCTTCATTTCGAGGATTTGGCGCAGCTGTGCCTTGGTGAAAGAATGGAACTGAACAATGTGATGCTGTCTGAAAAGCTTCAATATATCCTTTTCCTGAACCAAAGGCGCAATGCTGCTGTTGGTTCCAACCAGGATCACACAGCGATCGTGGCGAGGAATGAGCGACAATTGAGTGATGAGAGTTTTCAGCCAAATCTGAGACGACTCATCAAGGTCTGACACGTCGACCAAGAGCACCTTGCCGATGGAGGAATCCAGGAGGTCTTTGACGTCAGGTCTCTGCGAGACACGCATCTCAACCACTACTGTTGTTAGTGCTGCGTTTCAGTTTCGAATATAGACAACTCACCTTCTCCGCTGCTCAGCAGACCCACATCTGCCAACACCTGCCCATACAGCCTCGCCACCGTGGACTTGCCAGTCCCTGATGGTCCAACGAAAATCCGGTTAACTCGAACGGAGAAGGGTCTCTGGTTTCGGGCTTCCCTCCAAAAGTTCTCCTCAATCGTGTCCAGCAGTTCGCTGACTGATGTTTTGACCGCTTCCTGTCCAACAAGCTTCTGCAGGTCAGCCCAAGCCGGACTTTTGGCCAGTGCATCGGCCGGCCTGGGACCCAGTATATCTTCCGGCGAGAAGAAAAAGGTATCGACCTCTTCCAGATCGTCCTGCTCTTGGGTCATATGCGATTGGAGGTGGCGAAGAGTGATGGTG